AATAATTATTCTCTAAAAAGTATTGATTTTAATGTAAATTACTTTAAATGTTTAAGAATAAATGTACTAGCTTGACTTTTGGTAAGAAAGCCTAGTTTTAGTTTGTTCCATCCATTTCTTAAGTATTTCTTCCATTCATTTAAGGTTACTTTTCCACCAGTATTACTCCATTAACTTCACTGGACTTACTACTGATTTACATCCATTTAAGTGACACAGAATCAGACCATAAATGTCAAGTCAGTTTAACAAGTCCACTGAATTATAAAGGAAGACCATGAATGCTGTATCCTCAACAGCAACACAAATGTTTATCTACCTATCTATTCATTGCAGCAGCTTCAATATATCTTGACAACTAGCAGATTATACTGAAATATTTTAAACTTGTGATAAAAACATCTTTTTGTGAACATAGTCGCCTTATGGGAACAGCTATATTAAGAGAGAAGAAATATGGTCTACTTTCATGTTTACAATAATAGCTAGGCAGGCATTGAAGATCTGCACAGACATTAATCCCTTTTCCCTTCTCTTCCCCCCACTCCAAAAAAAGGAAGATGATAAAAAAATCATACTTCAAAGCACCAAATGATACCATTTTGCATAAGTATACTTCCATTCAAAAGGGTCCCAGCTGGTATCCTTAGGTTAATGCTATTATATTCCATAAATGTAATAGAAGCAGCTGTACTGTCTATTCCCTTCATGGATCATGTTTGCATTAAAGATCCATTGATTTTCAAGACATAGGTATAAAAGTGGTGCGATAATAGTTATGAGATTTTGTGGACTTTTAAATAATATTTGTAAAACCCTTCATAGCTTTAGAACCTCTAAAAAATGTGAATCTTATATCATTGTAGTGTAATTATGCAAATTTGTTTCTAGTAGGAAACACTGAGTTACACTGCTTAGCTCAGTATAGTTTAAGTATACAAACTGAGAGCTACCAATTTAGTCCTTGAGCTATGAGCTATAGGAAGATATTATACTCTATGACCCAGATCCAAAAAAGGGACTTGGACATCTAAAGTGAAACAGTCTAGATAAAATGCTTAAACAATGTGTACCAGAAGGAATAGAACTTGGGAATCATCATTACCATGTGAGCACCCTAAGCCATAGGATCATGCTCACTCTTGTTTCTTCTCTCTGGACCAGTGAATCTTATTTATTCTATGCAAAGTAGAACACCAACAAGAAGTCAGGATAAAGGGATGTCTTGGTTTCTATTGCTTAGTGGTTGAGAAGCTCTCTTGGGAGGTGGAAGAGGTAAGCTAGAACCTTTTCAGGCAGAAAGGGAGTTGAATCTAGGTTTCCCACAGGCTGGAGAAGTGCTCTAACTGCAGCGCTATTGTGTGAAACAGGTGCAGTAGTGCCTACTTCAGGTGCATGACAACTGCTGTATTTCTGACACCAAAGGTGTAGGCACCCACCCTAAAGAGAGATCCCAGGCTGTCAATTCTGAAGGGCAGAAGGTAGCTCCTGGCAGTACTGAATAAGATGCCAAAGCTCCAGAGAACACCATGGTATAAGACAGACCCTTGCCCTCAGTATTTCCATATTGGCTAGCTTAAGCAGCTCCTGTCCCAGTGTGCTGGTTTTATGGATCCCAGACTGAGGCACCTAATACCACAGAGCCATTGTGCAAGGAGTTCAGGCACCTCATTCTCCATGCACTGCATAAAGAGTCCAGGCACCTAACTCAGAGGCCAGGCAGCTGTAAGTGACATGCTACAACACTGAGTGTCACATTGCTTAAGTCCCTAAACCTATGTGAGTACAGTAGTTTAACACCAAGGGATGTGTTCACAACATTAACCCGCAGCACCTACACTTTATTCAGCCTTGAAGTCACTTCCTCAAAACAAAAATTCTTAAGGTAAAATTCACCAGGAACAGGGAGTATGGGGACAAGAAGTTGCATTCCTAGATCTCCAAGGAAGTGCTGCCTGGCTGTATTTTGAGGGGTGAGACTGTGAGAGCGATGGAAGCAAGGGGGTGAATCTGCTCCTGGCCATTTCATCTCTGATTTAGCTGGTCTAGAAGGTACAATTTGACCCTGCCTTCTGCCTGATTTCAGACTAACACCGCTAACAACTTCTCTCCATTCCTACATTATCACTAGTGCATGGATGGTAATACAGCCCACTGAGGGTGAAAGGAGTACATGAAGAGTGGTCGTTCCTCCAGGACATGATCCTCAAAGCACAAAAGAAGTCCATTCCCATGTGGAGAAAAGGTAGCAGAAGGGCTGGTAAGCCCTCTTGGCTTAATAGGGATATCATGGTCCCCTTGAAAAAGAAGAAAGAGGCAGACAAACAATGGAAGCTTGGGACAGTCCCCAAGAAGAACTATACAACAATGGCCCCACTTGTAGGAAGCAGATTAGAAAACCTAAGGCAGCGAGTGAATTTAAACTAGCTACATAAATCAAGGACAATAAGAAGTCCTTCTTTAGGTATGTAGGGAACAGGAGGAAAACAAATGGAAGTGTGGAGCCATTGCTTAACAACTCAGGACAGAGGTTACTGACACTCAGGAGAAAACTGAACTCCTGAATTACTACTTTGCTTTTGTATTTCACTGGACTAAGGGGAAAATCATACTAAATAAGGTTCAGAATGGGCATGGTGGGAATGACTGCCTTCCTACTGTTGACATTGAGCTAGTGCATGATCAGTTAGAAAAGTTAGACATTTATAAATCAGCAGGACCAGATTAACTTAATCCGAGAGTACTGAAGGAGCTGACTGAAGTCATTGCAGGACCTCTGGCAAAACTCTTCCAAAACTCGTGGCAGGTCCCTGAAGACTGGAAGAGGGCCAATGTTGTTGTGCCCATCTTCAAGAAGGGGAGGAGAGAGGACCCAGGCAACTATAGGCCTATTAGCCTAACTTCTATCCCAGGGAAAATCCTAGAAAAATTCATCAAAAAGTCTATGTGCAATAGGCTTGCAGAAGGTAAGATTCTGAATGACAGGCAGCATGGCTTTGTCATGGGCTGGTCTTGTCTTACCAATCTTGTCTCCTTCTACAACCAGGTAACTTGCCACCTGGATAAGAGAGAGGAGGTTGACATTGTATACCTAGACTTCCAAGAGGCCTTAGATCTGGTATCCCGTGATGTTCTCATGGAATAATTGGAGGATTGCAGGCTTAACTGCTAGACAGTCAGGTGGGTAGGAAGCTGGTTGTGAGGTAGGATCCAAAGTATTCTAATGAACAGGTCTGTGTCATCCTGGTGTGAAGTGTTCAGTGGTGTCCCTCAGGGGTCTGTGCTTGGTCCAGTGGTTTTCCACATCTTTATCCATTATTTGGATGTGGGGGTGAAGAGCTCACTAGCCAAGTTCGCAGACGATGCCAAGTTATGGGGAAGTGTGGTCACGCTTGAAAATAGGCTGCAGATACAGGCAGACCTAGACAGGCTGGCAAGTTGGGGAGATTGGAACCACATGAAGTTCAACATTGAGAAGTGTAAAGTGCTCCAGCTAGGAACAAGCAATCCCCAACATACTTACAGGCTCAGTGGTGCCAGATTGGCTAGTACCATGACTGAAAGGGACCTAGGGATAATAATAGACCATAGTATGAACATGAGAAGTCAGTGCAGTGCTGTAGCCAGCAGGGCAAACAATACTCTAGCATGCATCAACTGATGCATCTCAAGCAAAACCAAAGAAATAATTCTTCTGCTTTATTCAGCATTGGTGAGACAGCAGCTAGAGTACTGCATCCAGTTCTGGGTGCCACACTTCAACAAGGTCATAGAAAAGCTTGAGAGAGTCCAGAGAAGAGCCACTGTATGATCAGAGACTTGCAAGGAAAGCCATATGAGGAAAGGCTGAGGGACTTGGGTTTCTTCAGCCTAAAAAAGAGAAGGCTGAGAGAGGACTTGGTAGCAGATTACTGCTATATCAGAGGAATACATTAAGGACTCGGTGATCAACTGTTCATCAGGGCACCCTCGGGGAAAACTAGGAGTAATGGCCACAAACTCCTGGAAGACTATTTCAGGCTTAGCACTAGAAAAAACTTCTTCCCAGTTAGTGTCCAGACTGTGGAATAAACTCCCTCAAGAGGTGATGCAATCACCTACTCTGGAAATCTTCAAGGGGAGACTGGACAGTCACTTTGCTGGGGTCACTTGAGCCCAGGTGTCTTTCCTTCCTAGTGCAGGGGGGCTGGACACGATGGTCTTGCAAGGTCCCTTCCAGCCCCTCACAATCTATGAATCTATGAACCTCACAGGATTCAGGCTGAAGAGATTTGAAATCCTTGGGTGGATTCCCAGTACTAGAGGGTGCATCTACATGTGCGCTCTACTGCAGAGTAGACTTACTCACTTCACAGTGGGAGCATCTACACAAGACGCTGCATTGCTGTAGCAATGAGCAGCAACATAGTTTCAGCAGGCACTGACCATGACACCGCAGCTACTGTGCAGTAGCTTGTTACTACTGTGCAGTAGGGTCAGAAACCTAAAGCTAAAGAAAGTAGTAAATGAGCTAACCTAAGCACTAAGCTAACCTAACCACTGCTACTGTGCAGTAGCTTGTTGCTACTGCAGTGGGGTTGGAAACCTAAGCTAAAGCAAGTACCAACTGCACAGTGGGGTACACATGTAGATGTGCCCAGTAAAGCATCACAGTCTACACATGCACTGGTATTAGGGTGCAGTAAACTAATTAACTCTGCCATAAGATAATACTGTTGAGCACTATATTACGGCAGAGTACTTTACTGCACTGAAACACATGTGCAGATGGTGACTGGGGACATACATTGTGCCTGGTCAGCACAGTCAGCCAGGGGCCTGCTCTACCCTGGCTCAAAGGCTGCTGCCCCCAGGTCATGGGTAGACACTGTGCCTGGAAGCAATTGATTCCAGAACTGCTCCAGAGTTTATTGTGACGCATTGATTTCATATGTAGATGCACCCAGAGCGAATTTTATCCACACTGGCAAATATATATATTGTATAATCTGTAGCCAGAGTTTAGAGTTCAGTGTCATTGACACCAGTTTCTTTTGCTGCTAATCTATAGTAATTGAAAAATGCATATCTTTATAAGTTTGCACACAATATACAGGGAGATGCTAATGTGAAGCTAGATGAAGACTAGCATTCATACACAGTCACTTCTGCAAGTGTCTCTCAGCAGACAGGCTTCTAAGAGATGCTTCATTTGATCTTCTGGAGGGCACTGCAAAGAATTCCCATCTCATCTGCAAATGAAATAACAAGAACAGTTGTTCCTAAACCTGTCTCCAATACATTGAAATAGGATTGCAACATAGTTATCTATTCAACACCCAAATGAATAATTCAGGGGAAGTGGGTAACAAAGGCTATAAACAGACATCTTTGGAGCAGGATCAGCTGTGCTAGGATGTGTCCCAGTATAGCTTCAATGGCACCTACTGACATCATGGGGACCCTTGTCCCACAGGGTGGGATCCTTGATCCTCCCAGGGCTTCAAGGGCCTGATCCTGCAGGACAACAACCCCAGGTACTAAGTTAAGGCACAACAGTGAGATATGCATGCCAGTGATATAAGCATGTGTCTGTAAGCAGGGGAACCCGCATATAGTTCCCCCACTTGAAGACATGAATCCTGAATTGGGGTGCTGCAGCCTGATATAAGCACCATGGGAATACCCTCCAGAGGGATTCCCAAGGCATGCATTAAGCAGAAAGACATCCTCCTATTTATGGCATCACAAATCATAACTACCTTTGGTCACAACGACATTTTTGGACACCTGAAGCATGACCGGGGCTAAGATGTCTGTCTGCTTGCAACTTGTGCTGCTATAAACATTTCTATAGCAGCACAAGGGCAACATCTATTTGCATCCAAACTACGCATATTGACTTCAGTGGGTGATCTGACAGACAACTGGGATACGTGAAAGATTTATACCACTGGAATTTAAATCAAATTTGTATACCGATGCATGATGTTCAGACAAATGGAATAAAAGTCCTTTCTCTCTTCAGTTCACATGTCAGGTCCTAGGTTTTGAGGAAGCCAATGTTACAAAAGGAACATTTCTTACTGTTGATGGTGTCAGCTAAATTCCTTAACTGCTTTGCATTGTCCAGAACCTCAATCCTTTGGGTGTATGGATTGTAACGAACAGAGAAAGGGCGAGGGATTGTTGAAGCAAATTTTCTGAAGGAGAAAACAAAGATGAATATAATAATAAATGTTTCAATTTAAGTAGCACTCCCCTTTAAGCTGAGTGAAGCATTTGCTAATGTATAAGGAGGTCAGTATGAGAAATCAAATGAAGACCTGCTCCATAAACAGACTGCCAAGGCATTATATAGTTCTTCAGCAATGTTCTTGAGGCCAGCCGGGAAGGCTTTTCCCCAGGTGTATCTTTTTAGGAAATAATAAGTTTCTATTGTAGTAACAGTGATTTCAGTAACACTCTCCTTTAAGCTGAGTGTCAGGTTGCAGGATTTCCCAGACTTTAAGACCTCATTTGACTTTTACTAATACAGTATATGATCAGATCTGGCATACATTAGAAAAACAGTATGGCTGTTCTAACCTCTGAAAAAAAGACTTAAACAATAAAGAGCTGGAAAACAAAAGGCTCAGTAAAACTTTAAAAACCAAAGCAGAAGCTTTCAAACTTCAGACTTTTTCAGTATGCTCTATCCTCAACTAGAGTGATACACAAAAAGCGTTTATCTGTTTGTATATGTGTGTATGCACACATGTGTGCACACACACGAGAGAGAGATTTAATAACCCTGGTCGGAATTCAGAATGTAGTTAGCTGAACAACATATGGAAACACTGAACAACCGTTTCTAGTAGCTATAAATATTTAGTGCCTGATTCAACATGTATTGAACTCTGCAGGGGCTTTCCCACTGACTTCAATAGGCATGGGATTAGGCCCTTAATAAAGATGACTGCATTACCTTAATTTTTCCTTTGCATCTTTAAAACTTTCAGCAACATAGTATCTAGGCTGGAACTCAGTGACAGGGTACGGCTGAACTGCAGTGTTCTCTAGGACCAGGGGTTGAACCTCAGGCTTATCTGATAAACAGTACTGCATACAAAGAGCAAATTATATATTTAAAATAAAAAGGGCTGAACAATGTATAACAAAGAAGGCTGATGACACTTCACCATCCATTTTCTTGGTTAACCAGGGCTTACCATATTTACACAAATCCAAGATGAGCCCCTCCTTCCCATCACCTTGGGGGGAAGAAAATCCTCATCTTAGATTTGAGTACCAGCATAGGACAGGTGGTGGCTCAGCGCTGACTTCAGCTCTGGGCCCAAAACCAAAACAGGAACTGAGCTACTGCCTGCTCTGGGCTGGGGTGGCTCATACGGTGAGGAAGGTGGCTTGCAGTGGGCTGAACACAGGGAAGACCATGTTTTCGGAGTGAGGGGCACAGGAGGGAGATCACATGGTGGGGGGGGAGGGTGCACAGGAGACTGTGTGATGTGCAGCTTGGGAGGAGTGTGGGAAAAACATTGCAGCCTGCCCCCTGACTCCCAGCCACTTACATTCTGCAGGCCCAGAGCTGCTGCCACTGATTTTGCCTGGCCAGGATGGACCAGGACTGGGGCTGCTGCTTCTGACTGCCTGAGAGCCCCTACAGAAGGTAAGAGGCAGATGGGGGCAAGTGGCTGTGTGGAAGCAGGCAGTGGAGAAAGCAGGGAATGGTGGGGGACAGGCAGCAGGGGGGCAGGCACTGTGGGGAGCAACAGATGGCACAAGTGATGTGCAAATATGGGGGTCAAGGGGTAGGGAGGGCTAGCACTCGGGACAAGCAGCAGAAGGGCAGACATAGGCATGGAGGCAAATGGGGGTGGGAAGGGGGAAGATGGCAGAGGGACTTGGGGGGCAAGTGGCAGGAGGGACAGCAGGAGGGAGCAGGCACAGTAAAGGGGGGCAAGGAAGGGGGGTGAGCAGGGAGACAAGGGGCAGGGATCTGGTCTCTCAACCCCAGCCAATGCTTCCCCTGCCATTTTGGGGGGGGGAGAGCCATCACTAATTAGATTTTATGCATGTCAAATGGTAACAAATTTATAATTTCTCATGTAAAGAATCCAATTATTGGCAGGGGTCATCTTAAATTCAAAGTAATTTTGGATTCAGATAAATATGGTAATTCCACTCCCACAGAAGTATAAAAGAATTGACCATTGGGTACAAAGGGAACAGGGAAAAGCTCAAAGGGAATAAAAATGAGCAATTTATGAAGTATAACTTTCCCCCTAAAATGCCATACTTTAATAAGCCATTTACTTCATTTTGAATGCCCAGTATACAAAGATATAAGGGCATTCAGAAGACAAATATAAGTCAATTATAAAAAAAAATTAACATGAACTGTGTAACTTATAAAGTGTTACTGGGGACCTACCTGTAACTCGCCAAATGAAGAGAGGAGCCCAGCACCATAGGCCTTTATGGAATCACCTTCTCTACAGAGCCCAAATTCCACAGTAAACCAATAAACCTAATTGGAAAATTAGACATAAATATTGGCATTTCTTTTTATTATAATTACAATTTAAACTTCCTGTAAAAAAGGTTTGTTTTGTTTTTTCAGTTTAGCTTTGATGATGCATAAATGGTACAGTTCTCTGTAGGGCCCACATTAGACTTTTCCACCATCTTACACCCTCAAAAATGAGGGTACATTTTGAGGGTACAACCTCAAATGAGGCTCCTTACCTTCCTGACCAATTAAGTTATATTTTTACTATGCTTACATCTGTTGGCAAAGCAGAGATGGTAAAGCTAGAGGAGATGGATTAGATTCTGTTTTGTCAATCTGAATGAGGTTTGAGCCATTATTGACAGAACATGGGCTTCCTGTTTCAGACACATGACACCTTATAATAGAGATGGTGAGAGTGGAATAGAATTCATTGTTAAAAAACTTCTGAGTGGAGAACCTTAAGGACTAAAGGTTGCACATCTGACAGAAAGCATAGAGTTTCATTTTCAGCTTCCAGCTGGAGTTCATAGATCTGGGTCCCAATTCACTCTCAGTAAGTTATGCATAACTTCCTTTGACTTCATAGGGAATTATTTGAGCCACCTAGTGGAAAGGCAGGTCTCATTACAGTGGAAATGTAGTAAAGTGCACCTCTTTTTGCTTGAGGACATTTGTCATAGAGTTACTGTAAACTGGCCTTTTGTTTTCAATCATAAATCTCACTGTTAACGCTCTGATAGGATGATAAAATTATTCTCCATTAATACAAATGTTTGAGGGTGTCATTTTCCAAAGTGCTTATCCTTGGTTTAATTTGTTTCTGTTGAAGTGAACGAGAGTTCTACCATTAACTTAGCAGACCAGCCCACAGTGCTTTGGAAAGTCCCACCTTAATTAACTAAATTACCGTAGCAAGTTTTTCAATGTATTCATCCGGGGCTCCCAAAGATGCAAGTCCAATTTCCTGTAACAATAAACCATTATTCTTCCATCTGTTTATTGCAAACATCCTTCCTACCATGCTGCATTTAATTTCTCATGTTTTAAATATTACCATCATCTACTACCACACAAAATGTGTTTATAACACTTTCCCATATTGTTCCACCATTTTTTTGGTAGAAATCCTATGGAAATTAACAAAGGGTGTTATCAAAGTGTTGGTGTGGTGGCCACTCCTGAGGACCAAACGTGCCAGGGACAAACCCCGATGCTCCAGGAGAGAGACCTGGGGACCCTGGCCCTGAAGACTTACCTGAGGCAGGCCAGATCAGCGTCTGGGTCACATGAGCCAGCGCTGCACCAGCTTTTCAAGCAGCTCTCAATCAAGCTAGGCAGTGGCCGGCTGATGATGTCAGCCACAGCCAAAGCCACAGGGGATTTAAAAACACCGGCAGAAGCTGGCAAGTGGGAGAGAGGCAGGAAGCAAGAAGCTGAGCTCGCCAGGGTGCAACCTGGCTGAGCAGTAATTGTAAACGACCCTGTCCCACAGAGAATAGGTGAGGGCAGTGCCTGGGAGCCAGACAAAGCTCATCAACCCCAGGCTCCACAAAAGTGAGCTTGGGGTCAGCCACCAACCCCAGCGCATGGGCAGGGTTTATTCGGCTGATTTGAGGGAAAAGTGGAAACGGGGAGAGATTATTAAAGAGGAGTATGCCTCCTCTGCTCGCGCTTGTAGGGAGGCAGTTAGACAGGCCAAAGCTACCATGGAGCTGAGGATGGCATCCCAAGTTAAGGATAACAAAAAATTGTTTTTTAGATATATAGGGAGTAAAAGGAAGGCCCAGGGTGGAATAGGACCTCTACTAAATGGACATAAGCAATTGGTGACGGACAGGGGGGACAAGGCTGAACTCCTCAATGAGCTCTTTGCCTCAGTGTTCCTAAGCGAGGGGCAAGACAAGTCTCTCACTGGGATTGTAGAGAGGCAGAAGCAGGGCACCAGACTACCAAGCGTAGACCCTGAGATGGTGCAGAGGGACTTGGAGGAACTGGATGCGTTTAAGTTGGCAGGCCCGGATGAGCTCCATCCGAGGGTACTGAAGGCACTGGCTGACATCATTGCACAACCACTGGCGGGAATATTTGAACGCTCATGGCGCACGGGCCAGGTCCCAGAGGACTGGAAAAGGGCCAA